CACTCAAATGTCACCCAGGTGCCCAGCACCATGCCAGCCCTGTAGTGCAGGGCGGTGAGTCTTTTGGGAAAAGCTTCCTTTGTGACTCACTCCTGGTCAAGAGCTCGTGGCTGAATGTCACATGTATTTGACTGGACCCTTGAAGAAGCTTGTTGTTTGGGCCCTGGGTTGTCACAGTAGTATTAAGACCCACAAAGTAAGTTGAGGTAAATGGTCATTGTCGACATTGATAACGGTCCCTGTCACTTCACCTTGAGGAAACCGTGTGCTTTGCAGTGCAGCAGAGTATCACGGTGTGACCTGTGAACTGGCGTGGACTGGTGGTGGCTGGGCTGCTCATTGACGCTGGCTTCCTTCTCTTCCAGGGTTGGTACATTGTAACCTACGCCTTGGGAATTTACCACCTAAACCTTTTTATAGCGTTCCTTTCTCCCAAAGTGGATCCTTCCTTGATGGAAGACTCAGGTACAGCAGAGTCCATGGGGGTGCTGTCCAGATGGTACTGTGCTTCTGTGTCCTTAGATGATGGTCCCACGGGCCTGGGGACTGGGCTTCTGGTGTTTACATGTACTGTGATGTCTGGATCAGGACAAATTTGTCTGTAGAATGACTCATTAAACCTGTACAGTTGTGAAGAGATTCATTCTGCTCTCCCCATTTTGCATAGGAGGAGACTAAGGCATTGGGGTTTATGTAATATATCCTAGGTCACATTCCAAGTTGGGGATAGATGAGCAGAGCAGATCTGCCTCTCTGCTTCCTGCCTCAGAAGTCAATGTTAGGCCCCCTGTCATGTGATCAGAGAACTACATGGACAACCAGCATAGACCACTAGGCCCCTGGGTGCCAGTACCCAGGCTGGACTATGGGCAGTGGGTGCTCCCTGGTATCTGAATTGAAATATTCTTGGGTGTGTTTTTGTGCCAGACCCATGGGGCTCATGTTGCCTCCAAGTGAGGCCAGCCTGGGGGTGTGACTGACAGATGATGAGCTATTTCATCCAGTACACCTGCTGCCTCTGTTGGAAAGCCAGGCACAGAGTCTGCTTTCCTGGGGGAATTACTCCCAAGAATGATTTCAGATTGGATGGCCAGAAGCCTGTCACCATCCTGAGGAGACTAGAAGATAACTAAGATCCTAGACCTGAGTATCTTCATATTCAATGGGGTAGATGGGAAGAAGCCTAGCACTTGGTGGGACTGATGCACAAGGCTAGCCCACAAGGCGTTTTTAGAAAAGGATGCATAGCCTGGCCTGCATTTTTTCTTTTCTTTAAAAAGTTTTAAAAATGGGGCTGGAGAGATGGCTCAGTGGTTAAGAACACTAAATACTCTTGCCGAAAACCCGGGTTCAAGTCCCAGCACCCACATGGCAGCTAACAACTGCCCATAACTCCAGTTCCAGGGGATCCAACAGCCTCTTCTGTCTTCTGTGGGCATTGCACGACATATGCAGGCAATACATGCATACACATAAAAAAATTAAAATAATATTTTTAAAAATATATTAAAAAAAGTTTTTATTATGTGTGCACTCCCCCCTCCCCCCGACACACGTATGCAGGTTGGAGAACAACTTGAGGAATTTGGTTCTCCCACCATTGGGGTGTCAGGGATTGAACTTGGGTCATCAGGCTTGGCAGCAAGCACCTTCTATCTGCTGAGCCATCTCACTGGCTTCCTTTTTATTTATAGAGACAGTGTTTTGTGTAGTCCAGACGGGGCATGATCGTGCCATCAGCGTCCCAAGTGCTGGGATTATAGACACGTACTGCTGTGCTGAGCTCACATTCTCTACTGCTTGTTTTATGTGTCAGTTTGTCCTTGTTTTCTTTACAGAACTTCTGTATAGTACAACAAATGAAAAATCTGTGAATTTGAATTTTTTTTACTGCATTTAAAATGTATACAAGTCTTACAAAAAAGATATTCTTGCCGGGCGTGGTGGCACACACCTTTAATCCCAGCACTCGGGAGGCAGAGCAGGTGGATCCTCTGTGAGTTCAAGGCCAGCCTGGTCTACAGAGTGAGTTCCAGGCAGCTGGAGCTACAGGGAGACCCTGTCTCAAAAAGACCAAAAAAAGTCTCTTGAGTATGCTAAAGTGACAGATTAGTTTGTAACTGGTTGTAGACCCCACACTTTATCTCTTAAATCATGTAAGTGTGAGCATGCCTTTAGTTCCAGCACTCGGGAGGCAGAGGCAGGTGGATCTCTGAGTTCAAGGCCAGCCTGGTCTACATAGGAAATCTAGGCCAGCTGTGGCTACAGGGAGACCCTGTCTCAAAAAAACCAAAAAAAAAAAAAAATCATGTAAGTATATGTTGCCATGTGTGAAGCCTACTAGTTCAAAGTGTATAGGGAACATTTGTGAGTGTGGGGAGAAATCCAAGAGACAGATACTTCATCTCCAGTTGACATTCTGTCTTTCAGACGATGGCCCTTCGTTACCAACCAAACAGAATGAAGAATTTCGTCCCTTCATTCGAAGGCTTCCAGAGTTCAAATTTTGGTTAAGTATATGTTGCCATGTGTGAAGCCTACTAGTTCAAAGTGTATAGGGAACATTTGTGAGTGTGGGGAGAAATCCAAGAGACAGATACTTCATCTCCAGTTGACATTCTGTCTTTCAGACGATGGCCCTTCGTTACCAACCAAACAGAATGAAGAATTTCGTCCCTTCATTCGAAGGCTTCCAGAGTTCAAATTTTGGTGAGCTGGTGTTTTTATACATGCAGATATTTTACACATAGTAGTCTGTGTGGAATAGGGGTGACATTTAGGCACATACAAAATGTGCAGTGGTCGGGCTTGGCATACCCATCCCTGTAGGCACTCACCATTGCTTTGTGTTGGCGCACTGAAAATCCTCTTAGCTGTTTTGAAGTAAGTCCTGAATTGTGGCAGTGGAAGTCTTTTCTGACCAGTCCCAGCTTATGTCCTCAAGGCTTTTGAAGAAGATGCTCGGGCTCAAGGGTGACTGAGGAGACTGGTATAGACTCAGTTATGGTCTGATTAGCGTTGACTGATTAGAAATGAGAATTTGTGCTTTGTTGCTTGTCATGTTCATTTACCCAAAAGGTGACGGCCTGGCTGGGCATGAGGGGTGTCACGGGCTCTCTGGAGAAGACTGCCACATCTTAAGCAGGTGTCTGCTATTGGCTTAGGGCCAGTGCCTACCCTTTGGAGGGTTGGGTCTTCTGCAAACCAAACTCCATGGAAGTGCTGAAAGAACGGGGAGTGTGATGAGGACATAGAAGGGGAGGCGCAGCTCATCTCACCTGTCAGGGCCAGGACTGTGACCTCTTGACCCGTCTCCTAAACCCTCTGCTCCTAGGGCACTCCAGAGCCTTTGTTGGTCAATAAATTGAATTAGCAAACTGGTTCTTTGGGCTACATGGCTTAATGCTGCAGTTCTGGTGCTATATGTGGACATAGAGTGAGATGTTGGAGTGTGGGGCGTGATCTGGGAGAGGAGATGGAAGGCGGGTAAGACCAGGGGCACTAGACGCCCCCAAAGAACCTGAACTTTGTTCTGTAGGAAAGGAAGAGATGGGGTTTCAGGAGGGAGCACAGAGTCAGACTGGTGAGATGGTGGCGGCAGTGCTGTGTGATGGGGTGGGAGGGTACTGCTTGTCCTCAAGCTCCCAGCGTCAGGCCCAGGGCCTGGGGTGCTGCTCTGAATGGCAGTCCAGATAGCAGACATGAGGTGCATCTGTTCTGTTTTTTACACTTTGTGTGAGTTTAAGCAGACTTAGCTTTCAAAGGACTAAGAGGAGCATTTGCCTGTGTGTCAGTGTAGCACATACACAGACCACAGGCAGATACCACATTGCCCTCACATAGGGAGCCGTCTCTGCTGAGCACCTGTGCAGGCAAAGGCAGGAGTGGCTGTGGAGGACGCAGGTGGTTGGCAGGTGCCTGGTCTTGCCTAAAACAGTGCTAATTTCTCTCTCTGTTTTAAGGCACGCGGCTACGAAGGGCATCCTTGTGGCTATGGTCTGTACCTTCTTCGAGGCTTTTAACGTCCCAGTGTTCTGGCCCATCCTGGTGATGTACTTCATCATGCTTTTCTGTATCACAATGAAGAGGCAAATAAAGGTAAAGATGGCAGCACCATGCTGTGCCAAGATTGTAGTTACCAGCCTGTTACCACGGTAGCCCTGGGAAAGCATGCGCAGGTCTGTGTTGAATAGCAGGAGCTGGTCTTAGTGCTGGGCACTGCCTCCTGTGTGGTGACTGACCTGTGCTGTTTCTGGCTGAGGCCAATGAGTGTCCATCAGCAAGCCCTCTGTGGGAGCAAATGGGCCTTCCTTGGAGGTTGCTAGGAGCTGGGGAGGAAAGTCTTGCATGGAGCCAGGTCAGGCATGTGCCTGTCAGTACCCAGTGGCTCTTCTGATTCAGAGTTCAAGGTTCTGAGGCTGTCTGCTAGAGCGTTAGAGCACGCCCCCAGGTGGTCTGCTAGAGCGTTAGAGCACACCCCCAGGTGGTCTGCTAGAGCATTAGAGCACAGTCCCCAGGTATAACTGGTGCAGCTACAGCCTTTTTGTCCCCACCCCCCACTCTTCCTAAATGGAGGCTCATGAAATGCTTTGGGATGGATTTCAGACAGACGTCTAGTGGGTCAGAACTATTGAAGGTTCTGCAGTGGGGACACAAGAAGCGCACTGCTGGCTTCCTGATTCATTTGTGACAGGCAGAAACAATTGAGGGGGTGCCTTTGGCTGTTCAGATCTAGGGAGAATGGTTGAGCAGGAAATTGAAGTAATTCAAGTTTGTTTGTTTGTTTTCCCAGCACATGATTAAATACCGGTACATACCATTTACACACGGAAAGAGGAGATACAAAGGGAAGGAGGACGTGGGCAAGACATTTGCTAGTTAGAAGCTGGACTGAATCTCACACGTACTCAAGGACGGTTTTGAGCCATTGTAACAATGCCTTTTTCTTCACATAAAGTAGTTGATTATGAGGAAGTTGGATTTTCTTTTTAAAAGGAGCCTCAGTGATTTGTGTCTGAAATATCAGGTTCTTGAAGAAACTGGCATTTAAACCAAATTGCATTGATTTCTTTTTCAGTGATGTTCATGTGTTTCAAATGGACAGAGTTGTAGTGAACCACAGGCTTGGGAAGCCAGGCCCGTGGCAGCCGAAGGGAGTGGGAGGGAGGATGGGAGTGCAGCTCTGGGGAGCTGCCTTCCTGACCACGCCGCGGCCCATCTCCGTGCCAGAGGGACGTGCCAGCCTGGTGCTTGTGTGTGAAGAAGAATGTAACACTTCAAGGTGATTTTCACGTAACTGTGGGGTTCTCGTGCCAGTTTCTGAATCTCATCTCCTAGAGAGGTTTCTCAAGTTGGCCTCTATCATAATGACTCAAAACTTTGTTCTTAACTGCCATGATTGCTTTTGAGGGCCTGGGATTATAAATATATATATTTTAATTGTTTGAGACTATGTTGACACATTCCTTTGGTACCTTGAGTTTGTTTCGCTTTTGACTAATTTAAACTTGTTCTCATGTAAAAACCCCTTGAAGGAAACAGAACTGGCCAGAGCACACCAGATTTGTGGGTTTGACACAGGCTTTTTACTTTCTAAAGAGAAACCAGAACCTGCCACTTGTCAAACTTTTTGATGTGATAAAAATAATAGTCTTAACATTTACTAAGTAACTTTTAAATCCCGACTTTATTAAAGAACTATCCCCTATTTGTGTAGTCTATAGCACAAGTCACTGCAGCTCAGCTTTCTACAGCTGTGGGAGGGCACAGAGCAACCTGGGGTTCTAACTCTGGACAGCTTTGTTCACACTTTCCATGCTGTTTTCCTCACTAGTGCTCAGGCCCAATGTGTGATACGTTAGATGTATCTGGCCAAAGCAGTATGAATTACAGATGAGGTGCTGCCTGCATGGTCATGTTCCAGGTTCCCACAGAGACTGTCCTGTGGGGGGGTCTGTGAATCTGCTGTGTACCAGGAGTGGTCCAAGAGGTATGACCCCTGTTCTCAACAAGTTGACTGGGAACATGGTGATGTCACACACCATTGCTGATTGCTGGGCTTCAGCCCCACTGACCAGTTATAGCCCGAAGGTTCTTTTACTGTACTCAGTTCAATGAAATCCTTAGTTCCATTTCTGTGGAATTAGTCTAAAGATGTGCCCCGCTGTTTCTGGCATGAATTAAAAAAACCTGGAAATGTCAAGTACAGGGTTGCAAGCTGGAGACAAGCCAGGAGGGAGCCAGACACAGCAGGACTGTGGGTGAGCAGGCACCCACTTGGGTCTGCAGGGAGGCTCATCATGCTCCTTCAGAGGGATGGGTGTCTGAGTGTATGTGGGAGTTGGTTTGTAGAAAGCTTCTCATTGAAGCTGGCTCTGCCAGGTGGCAAGATGACTCAGAAGTACAGGTACTTGGTGCCAAACCTGACAACCCGAGTTTGATTCCACAGTGGAAAGATAGGACTCCTGCCAGTTGTTCTCTTGAGTTCTACATAATGCATGTGTGCCCCCCCCCCATAAATGTAAAAAAGGAAACAGTCTGCCACCAGTGTTAGGCTAAGATGAAGACATTTTCCTAAGACAGGAAGTAGGTGTCAGGTCTCAGGAGAGGTCCTGGCCTTGGGTGAGTGTGGGGCCTGAAGCCCATAATTTCTGTGCAACCAGATTCTCAGGATAAACTGCTTCCTCCATCCACTTCCTGTTGATAATCTGCTGCTGATCAGTGGTAGTGCCGCAGGTAGACCAGCTTCTGGGGAGGGAACTTCTCCCTGCAGAGGGGACACTCTGTCTGCAAGGGAACAGGTGGATGAGTGATGTCACATCACATTGGCCGTCCACTGGCTGGCCCCAACCCCCATTACATCTCCTCCTGTTCCACACGTGCATGGCTGTGTCTTCTCTAACTCCAACAGAAAACATGCTTGCCCAGGGTCTGGGCCTATTACTGACACAGCATAGATGTGCCCACCCACCCTTTACTTCTATGAACCTTGGGTTCCTGTGGCTGGTCCTGCTTTCTTTTCTGACTGACCTCTGCTATGTCCGCCTAGCACCCCAGGCTGTAGATGGCTTTTAGGCCTATCAGAGACACCAGGCTGTGCATGCTGTTCTAATCTCTTCTAGGTTTTTCTACCAAGTCCAACTCTAGATGAACCCTGGTGCTACCTTTTCCTCTGCCTTCTGTTTGAAAAAGGAGGGCACAGCTCCACACTTAACACTTGGGAAAGCACCCACGATGCGGACTGCTGACCTGGGAGTGCTTCTGCAGTGTGAATGCTTGTGCTCCCAATCTTGCAGCCTGGGGTGTCCACCTAAGTGCACAGAGTGCTCCAGGAGGCAAGACAAGCCTGTGAGCCAAGTGTGACCTGATCTACATACTCGCCATGTGCCTGTCCCGTGTATTCTCCCAAGCTCCAACAGGGAGGACTGTGCACTGTAACCTGAATATGGCTCATTCTTCACTAAGAAAAAGATGCCCACCTAACCAATCCCTAAGTCAAGGAGAAGGTTTGGTGGGGTGGGGGGGCGCAGCACAGTTACCAAAGGTTAAAGGCTCAGGTGGCACACACACCTTAGTATTGCACCACTCTGTGATACACTCCCAGCAGAAGAGGTGGCCACAGGGTGTGGCTGTGGAGTGTCTGCGCTCCTCCAGGCATAGGGTGCATAGTGGGGTTCTGCAAACAGCTCTGTCTTCCAGGGAACGCCTATGGATGTGAGGACAGAGCCCAGATAAGAGCACCTTTAACAATCCTCAGGGCATGCCCAAGGCACCCCAAGTCCCCAGCACACCTGCGGTGGGAGAGGTTTCGGTGCAGCCTCCACTCCTTCCGGGCTCGCTGCTTCTGCCTAAAACTGTACAGTTGTAGCCCCATGGAAAGTGCCAAGTGCAACAGCGAGATGAGCCCCAGTAGTCGGTAGCTTGTGCGAGCCCTCGGGTCCTCTCCAGGCAGGCGGTGGGTGCGAAGCTGTTAAGGCAGGTGACCGCACAGCCATCAGGATCCTCATGGGAGCTGGTCTTCTGTTTGCCTGAGGGTCCTATGTTCAGCCATGCCTCCCCTTAGCACTGGGAATGTCCAGAAAACAAGAACCAGGGAGGTAGGTTCAAGGAGTGAGGGACCTAGCTGTAGGTTAAGTTTTGGGTACTGGAAGGGAAATGGCTGAGGATTCTGTAGTTGTCTGAGAACCATCTCCTAGGGAGAAAAGGAGCCTGAGGAGGAGTAGGGGTGGGGACAGCAAGTGAACCCAGGACAGGCAGATGATGTTCCCTGTACTGAGTCATCTTTGACACTCTGGCCACCAGGGACACTGTCCTAGCCTCCTATTTTGTATCATAAGAGCCTGCTGTCTTCCACTTCTTATCCCTTCCCACTGGAAGGGAAATGAATGTGCTAGGTCACATTTCGGACAGGAGCACCAAAAACAGCAGTAGGTAGCAGGTCCTACAGCAAGCCTGGCTCTGCTGCCTGGTGCCCAGCATTCAGCAGCCACTGGGAAGAGGCACAGCTGCTTGCACAATTCCTGCTGGAGAGAAGGAGCTCACTGATAACAAGTGTGTGAGCACTGAGGTTAAGGCCTCAAACCAGACTCCAGTTCTATGGTGGAGTCCTGATTCCTGACTATGTGTGGGAAGGGCAGTCTGGCTGGAGGGGACCTGGGAATAAGGGAGAGGGAGTGCTGCCGAGGTAGGGTCCCGGTCAGGAACTTGAGCAGCTCTGGTGGGGCTGGGGCTGAACACAGAGGTGAATGACGGGAAGCAAGGGTGTCGGTAGAGAGCCGGCACAGACCAAGGGTAGTGGTGAGGATGTGGTTACCTGGGCCACTGTAGGAAAATTCCTTGGACCAAACCTCAAGACCTTATCTTTCTGTTAAGGCTGTTAGATGATAGAGTGGGATGGGCCAGGACCCAGCTAGTGTCCACACTTGGTACTATACCAGGTGCTCATTCCCCCAAAAGCAGTAAAATAGGTGTTGAAGAAACTGCCACGAAGCTGGACCAAACATGCTGGTTACAGGAAGAAAAGTGCTTCTCTGTTGTCCCCTCTGGGTTTGTGAAAACTTACGTCCCTGGGTCTTTTAGCAAAATGCAACTGAACCAACCCTACTTTTCCCAAGTAGAAGGTTTGGGTCCAGCTTGGAAACACCTGGCTGTGATGATGTCATCAGCATGGGTCCCCAAGGGCTGAGGCTGCTCAGGAACCCACACCATGCAGTAGCCCCTGTGGCACTGCTACTTACATACGTGATCCCTGCCAGCCTCTTGGCCAGGTGGTAGAAGGCACCATGGATGTAAAACCAGGCAATGTGGAGCCGATGGAGGCAGACGAGGCCCTGTCTAAGGACAAAAACCGCCTGCTGGAGTGCTCTCCTCTGCTGTTCAGTCAGGGTGGCTGTGTGGTGACGCACCCAGCGCCGGGCCCCTGACCAGCTACGCCCACCAGACACCAGGCTGCTCTGTGAGGTCCGTGTACCATCGCCATTGGCCTGCAGCTCCTGCTCCAGTGGCAACAGTGCCTTGTCCAGCAAGTACGGTAGAACAGCATGCAATGCAACCAGCACTCCACGACGGAACCCGGAGGGCACATGTCGCCGGGACGGGTCCACTTGGATGATCCCAACATACTCCTCTCCAAGTGTCTGGTAGCCTGCAGATGGATCACACTGGTGAGGGCCCAGTGCAGGGCTGGGATCCCAGGGCAGCTTGCCCTCAGTCACCTTTTGTGCCCCAGTGCAGGCTCCTATAGTCACCCTCTCAGGCTGTTACCCATGAACCCTAGCCAAAACCAATGTGACTTCCCCCTGGGGTTTGGTCATGGCCAGCAGACAGCCTGTCCCATCTGTGCCTGCACCACACAGAGGGAATCCTAGCCTGTTGAGGGAAGCAGCGACTTTGGCTACTTGCTCTGCCTGTCCAGAAAATGCTCTTTGCCCTGGCCTTTTGTCCTAACGAGCTCATCACTTCCCAGGATGCCTTACAATGCAGTCACTTGCTGTCACTCACCAGAGTGCAGTCCATGGGGGCAGGATATCGTCAGTGACCCCCTTCTGTAAGATTGGCACTTCGAATTCCTTGGTGAGTGTTGAGCTGGAATTGGTGACCTGAAGCCCTTCCTCAGAGTGGGGCCATGCAGGAAGGGGTAGGGCCAGTGCCCAGAGGGCAGGGCCATACCTGGAGGCCATCAGCCTTGGTCTGACCACCTCACTAGGGTCTTATGACCAATACCTGTGATTGGTCAGTACTGACTTGCTCCTGTCACCAAGACCAGTCACTGAGAAGTGGATCCCAACAAAACCCTTGGAAGAGTCCTGGACGAAAGTCCCCCGGGGACATAAGGATGCAAGGGGAGCCCCAGCTGAGGGGGTACTTCTAGTCTCTAGAGGGGGTCTCTGGCTGTGCCTCCTGGCTGGCCAGAGCCCTTTCCTTCCTGAGGCTGCATGTAGGTGAGTTCCCGGAGCTGCTCACTCCCTGGCAGCTCTCACTGCCCCCTTCTCTGACTTAGGTGGGTTGTGGGGCCCCTGAGTGCCAAGGACCTGCTGAGCACAGCTACCTGCAATTGTAGTGAGGCCAAAGTAGGCAATGTCTGAGAGCAGTTCGATCTCTTTCCTCCATTCCAGCCACTTCTTTGCACCTGAAAGGAGAAAAACGTTATCTCTGGGGAGGTGAAGGGTCCACTAAAATTAAGGATATCCGTCCATCTCCATATCATCCCCCACCGCCGAGGGCATGTCGAGTCCCTCTTCCCTCTTCCTGAGTGGCCCTGCAACTTCTCTCCCCTTGCCGCTTGAGAACCTCCCAACTGGAGCCGAGTCCGGAAACTGTCCTGGATCCTCGGAGGCCCTAGGAAAGGCAGTCCGGTAGTACCGGAGCACCCCGGAAAGGCAGTCTGGGTAGCGCCAGGGGTACCCCGAAAAGGCAGTCCACGGGGACAGGCAAGAGACCACTTGTCTAGCATCCAATCCCAGCTCTCCAAGCCCCGTCTGTGCGATATGCCTGGAACCTCCACTGCCCCCTGTAAGGGCACCAGCAAGGTCCTCCCTGCAGACGTCTGAGGGGTCAACGCGCAAGCGTCTGAAAAGCACTAAGGACGGCCCGGCGCAGAACGGCTGCACGTGTCCAGCGCGGGTCTTTCCCAACGACCCGGGCGCTCACCAGCCAGGCTGTGCAGCGCGCCACCCGCCGCGCTCCGCAGGCCGCCGAGGTAATACTCATCCTTCTGGGCCGCGCGGATCACCTCCGGGGCAGACGCTCGCGCCATGGTCCCAGTCCACGACCTCGGGCCACAGCGACGCTCCCCGTGGGCGGGGCCTGGTGCGCACTGTGTTCCCCGGCGCGCGGCGCGGATTGCGTGCGTCACGCGGAAGAAGGCGGGGCCTAGGAGAAGAGAGCCTGGGCCTGAGGAGCGAGTCTGGCCATCTGCTGGGGGGGCGGGGTTGGAGTCTGGGGCGGGGCTATGCTGCGATGGGCGGGGTCGGCGCGCGGAGGGCGGAGCCATGCTGGGAGGGGCGGGGTTGACATCGGAGGGGGCGCCTGTTGGGCAGCACCATGCTGGCAGAGGCGTGGTCTGGGAGGGGCCAGGGCAGAGAAGCGGGTCTGAGGGAGGGGTCGCGTGGAGCCTCAGGATGGGCAGGGGCGGCGGGTTCCCACGGTTGTCCCAGGCCTCCTGCTGGTCGGGGTCAAGCCAAAGGTCCCTGAGGACCGTGATGGGAGTGGACTGCCGGAGAGCGAGCCAAAACACCTGTTGCAGAGAGACAGAGCCTGGAAGCCGTGGCCGTCCGTAACGCCCGATTGGCTGCCAGGACACCGCGGGATGGGGAGGAGCCAAAGGAGGAATTAGGGCGGAGGGGAGAGGAAGGGAAGGGGTCCACCCTAGAAGAAAGGGTGTGTGTGGACTCTGAAGAGGCCCCAGCAAGCGTGGGGACATCGGATTCCTGCTCACCTCCGTCGGGACATGTCTCAGGACAGGTTCTTTGCACACTCTGATCTCACCCGAGAGGGCTCAGCTGTGCACATATGTCCCCGGTTCAGTCCAGCGGCGGGAGGCACGTGCCACTGGGACAATTCTTGCAGCACTCAGGGCCGCAGCACTGCAGGCCTGGCCCGTTTTAGGATGCTTGTGTGATTCCACCTGACTCCTGAAGTCCTCAAGGTCCTGGAGCTCCTCCCCTACCTATGCACCCGTTTCCTCCGCTTGGGCCGGGCAGCCCAGATAGACCATTTGGCCCAGGCAGAGAGGCACAAGCTTCTGGCCAACTCAGATGCAACAGTTTGAAATACCGATTCCTCGCAGGCCAGAGCTGCTTGTGTCCTAGGAGGCTGCTTTCCTTTAGACTTAGAAGCTCAGTGCTAGCATAAGCCCATGAGGAGTGGCCTGCTCACACTGCGTACTGTCATGAGCTGGTCCCTGCACAAGACTGCATCTCCTGGATTTTCCTTCTCATCTGTGCAATGGGTTTTAAATCCCAGCCACGAGGAACAAGACTAGAAACAGTATCGAAGTATCTGTTGTTTTCCGGGTAGGGTGGAGGGAGTGGGGGATGGCGGGGTGTCAGGACCCAAGTGTCTCCATGGGCTCAAATCTCAGCCCAACCTTGTCTCCACTGTTGACTGGTTCCTCGTCTGTGGGCTGTGGTTTTAAGACATTGCCAGCCTTTGACGCTTCTCAAGGGGCCTTCCTAATGGACAAAACCCAGGATGGCCAGCAGATGGTGCAATCAGCCCATCTGTTCTGTTAGCTTGGACAGCTAGGAAATATTACCCCAAAGAAATCCTTGGTTATAACACTCTCAGTGTTAAAGTGCACAGATGGGGAAACAAGAGGTAGGAAGAACAGCCCTTGGGGTGGTTTCAGAGAGGGTTGAAGGGCATAATGGGTGGTGACCTCATCATAAGTGAATCAGTTCTCCACTTCCCTTACTGGCCATAGCACCTGAGGTCCCTGTTTGCTGCAATGCCCAAGGGTTCCAGGACTCTGAGGTGGTGATAGGATGAGGGTTCTTGCTAGGAGATGGGTCACCTCCCTTTGCATGAGCCACAGGGCTTCTGGGCCTAAGCCTGTGTGACTAACTCCTTGTAAATTCTTCCTTCCATTCCGAGGATGGGGGACAGGAAGGCCTGGCTCCTGAGGAATTCTGGAAAGGCACAGAGGTGAGGGTCAGAATGGCTGACAGGTCTAGCCCTGTCCTTGGAGATCCAATAATCACCTCCTGAGCTGATTATTGGATCATCACCCAGGACAGCCACCCCAATCTGTGAACCAAATGTGGTTGGCTGTTATCAATTGCAGTTAAGCTCCTTGGCGACACTGCACTGGAGCATCCCTGGGCTGATCTCTGACTGTCCCCTGGGGGCCCTCACCAGCCCCTGTGTCATTGACAAGGCATATCCTTCACATTCCTTCGCTTGCTGGGCCTCAGCTTTCTGGTCTGTGGATGAGGAATAATGACAATTAGCTGGTGTTTATTGATAGCCTACAATGCTAATGCTGAGCACAAGGATTGCCTGGGCCCACACAGAGATGCATGTTGATGATGGATCTGGGACAGGGTGGAATTCTGTATCTCTAACAAGCTCTGGGAACATGGAAGCTGCTAGAACAGAGCCAGTCGCCCCAGGGGCAGTGTTCACAGCTCTGCCCCCAACAAGTGCATTTCTCTTCTCCAGACACTGGATATTTTGTCATTCTGCTTGACATCCTTTGCCAGGGATGCCAGCTCTGGCCAATTTGGTTTTTAATTTAATTTAATTTAATTTTTTTGGCCATTTTCAAGTTCCTGTGTGTGTGTGTGTGTGTGTGTGTGTGCGTGTGCATGCATGTGCATGTGGAGGTTTGAGGTTAATGTCTGAAATCATCCTGGATCACTCCTTCATTGTATTCATTGAGGCAGGGTGTCTCAAACCTAGAGCTCAGCGATATGGTGAGTTTTGTTAACTAGCTTGCTCTAGGGATCCCTTGTCTGCCTTCATAGGCTAGATCACAGATGGGCAGTCTCACCTGCCTGGCATTTACTTGGGTTCTGAGAATCCAAAGAACTCCAGTTCTCATGCTTGAGCAGCAAGTCCTTGGACCACCAAGCCATCTCTGCAGTCCCATCTGGCCACTTTAACTGAGTTCTGCTGGTAGGGAAGCCAGGGGCAGAGTGGGCCGAGACTGAGAGGCCAGGGAATTGGCAGGAAGCTGAGCCAGCGGCCCCACTGGATCTGCTGTGTCCCCCTTCCCCAGGATGTACCTCCCAGCACCATCTAGTGGACTGGTGGACGAGCTGGTGAGTCAGCACAGGTAGGTTGCCCTTTGCCTGAGCCTGTAAACTCTGCTCTGCTCTGAGCAGAGGGCTGGGAGCAAAGATTTACTTTTTGGTGGCTGCTGTATTCAAGCCTGGCATGGTGCCTGCCACACACCTGCAGCTCAGGAAGACAGCATTGCAGCAGGACAGAAGGAAAAGTGCAGTAAGTTCATTTCTCTGCCTGAACCAGTCCTGGGGTCACACTGTGGGGTGCACACCTGCTCTGGAGAGGGGATGTTCCCAGGCAGTCCTTGGACTCCTGTTGCTCCTGCTGTCACCAGGCAGCTGGCCTCCTACGAGCTAGAGGAGGGACAAATGGACTCTTTGCAGGGATGGTGAGAAGGCTCTCTAAGTCCTTCTTGGGTGATGGATCTGGAAGGGCTGCCCCACCACCTGTGGCATGGAAGTCTGTATGTGTGCATGGGTGAGAGCTGGTGTGCTTTGGGAGAGAACTCCAACTAGGGGTGGCCATTCTGGCCCAAAATGGAACCATTTCTCCCCCTCTTCAACTGTAAGGGGGCAGAGGGACCAGCCTAGGAGTGGCTGAGGTACACAGGTACAGGGACAGAGCTGTTAGGGTGGGGCCTTGCCCTTCGGCAGGAGGCCCCTCAGCAGGCGCCACAAACTTGGAGAACTGGTTCCTCCACCCAGGGCAGCTGGCGGGAGACTCTGAGAGCTCACCTCAGCTAGCTGCCCTGGTTGCTGCAGATTGGAGCCCTGGAGGTACTGTAGACACCAAGAGAGGGTGGGGGTATGGGGAGGGGACATGAGGCCCAAGAACCGAACCTGGGAGACTCTGGCTGGCAGTGACCCCCGGTCACCCCAGCCATACCCATGGGCTTGCTGGTGAGGGTAAAACCAGGGCTAGGAAAGCTGAGCCCTGCTTGGGGTTCTGTAAACCTTGGGAAGGGACTCTAGGAAGTTCTAGGGTATAGGCAAGTGGCTGGGATGCTGCCCTGGGCCACGGCTGGGGAGGGGGATTCCTATGCTGGCTAGGTGACAAGAAGACTTGGATTTCTAGTGCCGAGCCAGCCCAGGGCTCTGGGACTTTGGCCATTCTCAGAACATGGAGCTGGGGAACTGAGGAGGGAGGGGCCTCCTCCTGGTCGCAGGGTGAACCCGGGTCTGACTGGTTTTCACCTGCTGCTGAAGTGGGGGAGTCTAACATTGGATGGCAAGACTTTATTGGGGAGGATGAGGGGTTCCTCATATTGTGCCCATCATCCTGAGCTGTGCTCGATAACAAGGAGGTGGCACAGAAGTCCCTAGAGAGAGACCTGGAAAGACTTCCCAGAAGAGGAGATGCCCCTGTCTATGTGGGAGGTATGGCCAGGCAGGCACATGCAGGCCAGGGGTGATGGGCAGGGGACGACAGAATCTGCCTTCCAGATTGTGGGGCAATCTAGGAGAGCAACCATGGGCCCCTTCTGGTTCAGGGTCTTCTGGGAAGAATCTGCCAACCTTTATCAATATGGGGTATGTGAGGCAAGTCTGGGCCTCAGGGTGTCTTGTGTCCCGCTCCCCCTCAAAACCAGGGCCCACCCTAGGGCTTTGCTTATGCAAAATGCAGGACCAAGTCAGGAGCTTCCAGAAGGCAGTGTAACTGGGTGAGGGGCAGGGGGAGAACCAAAGCTGATTTCTGGTGATACCTGGATTTCCAGAGCGAGGCTATGGAAGGCCTAATGTGTTCTTGGCCTTAGATGTGAGAGTCAAGAATGACCGAGGCTGGCGAGCTTCATACAGGTGTTTATCTGTGTGTTGTCATGGCCTGGAAAGAGTTCCTGTCAGACAGACAAAGGCCTTTGATCTTGGGTCCATGGAGTACAGATGGGGGCAGCCACAGGGGTTCTTCTGAGAGTAGTGGCTGGGACCCTATGCAGTGGAAGCTGGTTCCTCGACACTGTTTTCGGTCAGAATTATGGTCTTGAGGGGGTGCAGTGGTTCTGGACCTTCCTGTCCCATGGTGTGCTGGAATGAGAGGGCTCTTGGGGTCAAGCAATCAGCACCAGATCTCCATCGATGCCTTTT